GGAATCTTTTCTTAGGTAATACAAAGCCGCAATGGGCCTTACAACCCACGTCACCGTGCCCATCTATGCAGTCTACATCGTGCTGGCTGCTATGCTTTCGGCCGTCACGCTTGTGGCTGCCGTCTTCTACAAGTGAGGAAACACTCCAATCTTATTTATGCTCAATGAATCTCGGGTTTTTTTTTCAGGACTCGCAAGCCTATCGACCTCGACCAGCTAGATTGCGAGCAACAGGCCAAGCTGTTCAGGTGAGCGACTCGCTATGAATGGTGATCACTGGAAACACGGGCACTGCCCTGATTAGGATCGGGTGACTATGTAAAGTTGACAGATGTACTGAAAAGTGGCGCTGGTTACCATGTGCCTGCTTCGGGGATCATGTTTCTCATCGACTCCCGCATGAGCAGCCAGGCCTTCCAAGCTTTTGGGCCCGACTGATCAGTCTTGGCGCCTACTTTGCCAATCGGCGAACGCGTAGATGCGCTAACACCTCTTTGGTACCAGTAAGTATGTACAGTAACGACACTAACAATTGCGATGAGGAGCAACACGGGAATATACACTCTGTTTTCCCACAGTGAGAGGAGCCGTATTTGCGTACTCTGTCGCATCTGACAGTGGTATCAAAAATTTCTGCCCCTTCCTAATATTATTTGACTTCATCAGCTTTCAGTTTGATTATTTGAGTGTCACTAGACTTATAATGCGAACAATCAGTCTTTTCATTGAAGGAAACAACCATTTTTTCCAATTGCACTGCCACGCGCATTTGCGCAATTACTACCCATCTATCACCAGGGCCCATAGTTCAGCTGCAGTAGATAGACAGGGGCCTTCATGCCTCCAAGGCAAGATTCCTGTTGAAATCTGTCCCAGAATTGAACTGAGCAGGAGTTTGTCTCAGTGAGTCGGGCGCTTATTAGGTAGGAACCATTTTTTTCCGAGTGCCCCCTCGCTTTTGTAGCGAAAAGGGTTCAGAATGTTTGTAGTCCCTGAACGGAACAAAACCGCCAACTGATGGGAGGCTATATAGTCTCAGTACCTTGAAATATTAGGTGCATGCCGACAGACTCGGTAGGTCCTACCTTGAAGGTGCAGCTCATTTTCACCCGAAATATGTGCCATCGTGAACTGTGCAGGAGATTGAGCATGGAATAAAGGACATTCAGGGTAACCTTTTCCACCAATGGTAGGACCAGTTGTGGGGTGGCATCACTGGTGCAAAAGGCCGCTCTGCAAGGTTGCATTCCAATCCACGCCGCCCCATCGTTTGTAGGGCAGGGCACAGCATTCGATGGGGATTTTGGTCGAGCTTTTACGACCCCCCCCCTTTTTTCAGGGGCTGGTACGACCCCCCCCCCCATGCTCGTACGATGGCTGACTGTGGTTGTGCGGTTGTTTATACTCCGGCCGAAAAACGTATGTCGAGCGCGGCGCGGGGACGGGCGTACATGACCGCTACTATAAACACAGAAAAGTCAGAAAAACTCATGAAGTGAACCACGTAACTCCTAGCCAGAAATACGACCCCCCTCCCAACAACGACCAAATACGACCCCCCCCCTCCAAAACGTCCGCAAAGCGAGAAAAATCAACTATAAAAATAAATTTTTCCCAGCCCAAATACGACCCCCCCTTTTGGCGGCCAAATACGACCCCCCCCATAGGGAATCCCCATCGAACGCTGTGCCCTGTTGTAGGGAAATGACTGTGAATCTTCAAATGAGGGTTATTTGGTTGATTAAACTGGTTTAAATTGAGAAGGTTAGATTTTGAAGATGCGAACGCAGTCTGAAATGTCCCGCACCACTTTTTCAAAATCTAACCCTCTCAATTTATTTTTAATTTATGAAATTCGTTGTTTATTGGTGACAAACGCCTATAAATCTCGATGAAAACTAAATTTTTAGCCCACAAATGCTGGCTCCGCAGCTTATTCTCGATACATGTCCTCGACCGGTACAACCTCTTTCGCTGAAACACAAACTGACGCCATGGAAGAGCGCTGTAAGTTTACAATGTACGTCAATGAAGTAGAGATACATCAGAAGAACAGCTGAAAAAAACCGATTGACGGTGATCATCTTCCTTAAATCTGCTCAATCCGGATTAGTGGTATATCCATCCGGATTATGACACAGGAAGAAACTCCATCATCTGATTTTTTTTGAAACTCGATTTTCCAAACCTAAAGGGGTTCACTCTTGTTTTCCGCCCTTTCCTAGACTTTCACCTCACCTCATGTCAGTGCTAGAAAGGTTTACCTTGTTCTCTGGGCTACAAGACGAGGCGAGCACGCGAAAGGGCGCGTGAAACTTGTCAGACACAGCACTACCTTTTATGCTTTTTTTGCATACATATTGTAATCTTTCTATTAATTTCGAATACTTTTTATTTGGTTTGCATAGATATTATTTAGTTAAATGATCATGAGCAACCAAAAACCTGCAAAAACAAAGCGAGAAAGGAACATTCGCTGCCTCCCTGACGAATGTGCACCCTGTGCATGGACTCGCCTTGTACCCTAGAATATAGCGTGCGTGGCAAAACCGTAACTCCTTATTTATCCGAAATCGTAGTACCTAAAGTACTTTACAGTAGAAACTTATCTGAATGTGTAATAACAATGTGAAACTCCAAAAATTTATTCCAAAAAACTCAGAGACAGCAAAAGTCTCAAAAGTTTTTAAATATCTTATCTTGCGATATTTCGGTGCGTAGCACTTTCGTCAGGCCTGAAATTATTAAGGCTTGTTTTTAGAAACTTTCAAAATAAGTAGAAACTTAGTCAGGATCCAACTGAGTGCTGCTCCTCCTTAGTTACCCTGTACATGTCAACTCAAGAAGACCTGTGAGTCCTGCAACTAGAGTGGGTCATTTGAACCGATTCACAGTTTCCTAGGAGCCTACAGTCTACGGTCGCACCAAACTGTAAGTGATAATTAACATGAACTGCCAAAATGAGCTAGATAAGGTTTGAAGTGCCCTTTCGAGACGGACAGCTCCCAGACTACAATACTTGGTACGTCTGGAGGGTTTTTTGTCTAGGTACAGAAGTGGTGCTTAGGCGCAGTTTGTCGACGAGGGGCATTTTGCTTTCCATAGATGTGTCGACCCATCTAGGTAGCCGTTTCTCGAGTTGACACGTTTCAGGATAGTGGCTAGACAATCACTTCAGCTTCACAAGATTCACAAGTTTTACCAGAGTGAGTCTTGTAAACCGGAACTGGGGAAGCAATGATAATTAAAAATGCCCCCCGTCGACAAACAGCGCCTGGTACTTATTTATGAAAATAACTTGCTATCTGGCTACCGGGCTCGAACTGTTGGCCTTCAACCTGAACTGGCAGTGCACGAAAGTCGGATGGGCGGGTGCGGCCCCACCGTCGTGTTGTTTTCATTCGTCGCGCCTCCTCTTTGTGAAGCGCGGTGAACAATATTGGATTGACGTTCGCTTCAACGACCGAGCGACTGTGCCATCGCATCCTCTGTTCAGCTGAAGAAAGAACTTTTCATGAATATCCTAATCCATTAAGTTATTATTAGAGTGTGCGGGAAGTTTCCAGACAATTTCGCTTTAGAAGAGTATTGAGAAGCGAACAGACGGCGTATATCAAAAGCCACATGAAAAAGAAATGGTTTTTTAAAGCCGAGTTGATTGGTACTATTTCTCATCAGCGCGCAATGAGTTAAATTCGTTAAAAAATGTGCATCTTGTCGCTGTGGATGGGGGCCGTGTCAAGAGGGAGTGGTTTGGCGGGATGGAGCCATCCTCTCTATGTTAAGCTTTCGGCAGCGACAAGCTGCTAACTATATCGCTGCCCTAGTTCTATCGCTTACTCCGCCACCCCTCCCCGCCCCAAGGCAACTGGTGGATGGACAGGAAGAGCGCCAAACTAAGCTTCACTGACACCCCTTCCTCCACGCCGAAGAGGACTGTGCGAGCGCCAAGAGTTCTGAAGTCTTCCACTTGCTGGCTGGCTAGATTAGTTGAATTCTGGATGATTACTGGTGCCGAAGCCAGACGAGTCACTCTCAAAAATTCTTTGTAATGAGATTTGAACAGGCGCCTGTCAAGCCTGGATGGGGGCATTCAAAAGACTCATTGTTGAATACTGAGATTCATGTCAAACGCCAAACATAGGATACCCTACTTAAGTATTGGCTCACACAAACGCCATAACTCTTTGAGACTTCCACGTTTAGCGCGGAACGTCCTTGTCATTCATGGCAACAGTCCACGCTCTGCAGGAGTCCTATGAATTCTTCTAATAGCAAGAACGCTGATTTTTCTCCTTTGGATGTAGGATTTTGCCCCGAAGTAGCGCGAAACGCCCTATCGTGTCATTTGTTTCTTTGAGAGTTGTGATTATAAGATCACGGGTGTGATAAAAGGGATTTTTTTAAAAACCGCCTGTGAGTTCTCATCTTTAAGGTCAGTCTTGGTAATAAGAGCGAATAAGACTTATTGAAAATTTTCAAAAGTTTTCCGTACTGCACATATTGCTTTGAATGAGTAACGTCCTTCCATAAGCTTGATGGTCGTTTGTCATTGGAAATTAAAAAATTTTCAGTTTGTTAAGGTAGCTGTCTGGTATTGAATCCATAGCCCTGCGACGTTATGTCTATCACTTCTGCAGTCGAGATTCGTCTCTAGAAACTTGGAGAAAGGGCAATTACGGGCATGAGCTTAGGTTCTTCTTCCAAACTAGTTACTAGCTTTCTGAAATTTGAAATATATTACTGGCTTGTTGAACTGTATTATGAGACCTCTTTACATTCTTGGCATTTAGAAAATCTGCCAAAAAAACAATGCCAAAAATTGTCATCACCTAGCAAACTACGAAATGTTCGATCCAAGATATATGCGCGCGCAGGCCATGGGGCGTCGGGTGCTGGGAATCTGCATGGGGGTCTGTAATGTTCGCCGGAGGGAGAGGTTCTATACCGACGAGGGCGGAGGGGTTTCCAGGGGGGGGCCATATTGCCGTAGCATCTCTCCCAAAGAAAATGTGCCCGCCCTAATCGCGGCTTGCTCGAATTCCTGTAATAAGCTGGCGGGACTTACTTAAGCTTATCTAGACTCAAAATTAACTAAACAATATACTGATAGGCTCGCCTCAGTACTGACAGCCAGTTTTTCGACATTGCATTTTGACGCGTTCCTCCGCACGGATGGTCCTCTCAAACATCCGTACGCCGGTTTCCCTCTCTGGCAACTCGGACGTCGCACTCTGCCGGCCACGTGCGAATCGAAGAATCCATATTACTCTTAGCTGCAATGCTTTTTGTGCCAAGCCTGCAGCACTAAGGCACGCGCAGCGTTCAGACTTTCGCGACGGTCAGCTGCTTTCGGTCGGCGCGTTCTGGCGCTATGTCTAGTTGAAAGCATGAGCATCGATCGCGCCGAACGAGCGACCGAAATGCTGCCGTCGCGAAGTCTGAACGCTGCCTAATGGATAGCGCATTCGTCCTGTGCGCGGCCAAGATGGCGGTTCCTTCCCCACGAATTTCGGAGCGCGAACTTCGGTGTTAAACAGCATTTGTCATACTGGAACAACTTTAATTCTTTTTCTGTTTTCAATTACCCAATTTTGAGGAACATCAGATGGAGTGGTTAGACTTGATTCGTTAACGACTTTGCTCTGATTATCCCTAATTTTCCGCATGGCAGGCTTTTGCAAAAAAATCAGTATAATGCCATTTTACAGTCTCAACAAGTGATCGACACTTTGAGACCAGAATGTGTGTCAGAGTTCCGTGGGAAACTCAACTTCTCGGTGACGTACGAAAAGGAGATCAGTACACTCTATGTCCACCTTCTCGAAGCTGTCGATCTGCCCATCAAGGACATTACAGGCATGTTTTTTTCACACCTCTTGAAGTGCTTTCTAGAACTAACTATGAGATTGTGGATGTCGTAGGGCACCTTGCGGGTTTGCGTGAGATCTGGGTTCGGATCCCAGCTGGGGCAAAACGCTGCTCCACCATCAGAGCTCTTGAGAAAGAACGAGCTATCTCAGCCCACTGAAAGAATCCAAGTTAGTAAGTTCTGAGGGTGCAAAATTGAAAAATGAAGGGTTCAAAAAGTCGCGTCTCTCCTAATCAGTCAAAAAAGGTTCTTTTTCCACCGTAATGTTGTAATTAAGCAAAGTGCGGAGGTGATAGATTGTGTGCAACTTTCTGACCTGCTTTCACTCAGAGCTTAGAAAAAGCAAGGGAGAGACGGACTGGTAGAGACAGACACACGCAGAATGGGCGGGGCGTACTCGAGATGGGCGGTGCTTCCCACAAAATCCAGTAACTCGGACTCATTCAGCCCCTCCCAACGCTGCCCCGTCTGGTTGCGAAATATGTCAGCAGAAACCATCGCCGAAGTAAGACTTCAAGATGACCTGTAAATTCATAGTATTTCACATATGTGTTCTATTTGGCTGCGAAAAGCTAAAATCGGGACTCACATGTTAAAGATGTCGCACACTGTTCCAGAAGGCATTCTGCACAATTGCTACTGAAAGCTTAGTCCACGCTGATCGTAAGGGCAGAGTCAGCCCTGTCACTATTTCTTCCTCATTTCGCATCTCTTCCCCATGCGTATGAGATAGGAGTGGCGTGAGTGGGTGAGAGGCCGTTATGGCAGTGATGCAGCGCCGTATATGGCAGAGGTAAGTTGGCCCATGAAACAATCGCGGACTGAATCGACTGTGGTTGGCGTAAAGTCAGTAAAACTAGCAATACCAGTATTTATAGCCAGAGATTAGTCAATTCTCAGATATGAGAAGAATCTCACACCTTGACCAGATATTTCTGCTCGCCGCTTTGCTTCTGCCATTCCTTGACAAAGGCAGGCTGGCAGGTAGCAGTAATTAGTGACCTACTGCGCTCTCTGTATTTCTTGCATCTCATTGAGGGGGGGGGGTGAAGTCCACGATTGATTGTGTGGGAGGCGGCAACTTCTGTGCCTTGACACAAAGCTTCAGCCACATACAGAGAGCCGGGCGCTGTTTCGACGGCGGGGGGGCATTTTGCACTATCATTGCTTCCTCAGTTCCGGTTTACATGTCTCACTCTGGCGAAACCTGTGAACTCTTGTGAAGCTGGGGGTAATCAAGCCATCATGTTAAAACCTGTCAACTCGAGAAGAGGCTGTCTAGATAGGCCGACACGTCGATGGGAAGTAGCGAAAGTGCAAAATGCCCCCCCGTCGACAAACTGCGCCCAGAAGGGATATGATTTAAGTATTTTTTTAATCATTTTGTCGGTCCAGGTAACCTTATGTAGTTGCTTGCTCCATTTCATCAATTTTTAGGAAGTTCGGATCCGTACGTGCGTGTTTTCTTAATGGAGCAACCGGCCACGATGGAGCGCACAAAAGTTCATCGTAGAAATCTGAATCCGAAATTCCATCAAACTCTCTCATTTCCAGGTACGTTTCTCCGTCTGAATATAGGCATATGGTTTATTGATTCTACTCCTCAAGATGAAGAAACTTTCAAAATTCCGCTTCAATATTTCAGCTGATTCACATTGCACTGTTTTATTAATTATTTATTTTACTTACTTATGGTTGGAGTTCACGCCAAGAGAAGCTGCTGCTGCAGAAAAGAATCCAGAAAACAGAGGAAAAAAATAAATGAGGAAAGAGGCATAAACTATTCCTACCTGCATCTCAAGGGACTTCTGAGGTTCAGCAGTAGAGTCCAGCTATAATCAGAAGGGTAGTAACAAGGAGACTGAACACTACTGAGGATCTCTGGATGAAGAGTAGTTGGGCTCGAAGAGCCTTTTCACTAATAAAACTGATGTTCTCCTTTACAGTAGCGGGCCGGGCTCGGTTCGGCTTGGTGGGGCACCGAATGACACTTGGCGAAGCCTGTGATGTGAGTCTGTCTTAACTAACATGAACCAGCATAGTAAACCTGCATGAGGGAAAAATGCCAGTAACTGGCCGCAGCGCCCAGTAGCGCTATAGCCCACTTTAGGGGAAAAGGTAAGGAGATAACGGAAGGGTCTTGTTGAGGAAAACTTCCCCACGTTTCTATTATAGTCTGACCAGTGCTGCCGCAATGTTATTATCCCAGATATTTTGATCGGAAGTCTCTCATCCTCCAACTTCCCCCCCCCCACCTGACTGACACTGTTGTGTCGTATTATGAAAATCTACTCATAATTACCTCAAGACTGTTGAGTTATGGGTGAAAGTCTTGATCACAGACGCTCGAACCCCCACCTCATTTTTTTCGGGCGAGTGCGCTATCCGTACGCCACCATTCCTCATGGTGATGATCTGTTCCGGGTGATGAGCCAACGATAATTCAGACAGGTAGAGCAGCCTGAACTGCTTCGTGTATTAGGAGAGGAAACCAGCAAGGGCCTAATTCGAAAAGAGGAACGGACAAGTAAAAAACAACTAGAGAAAGCAATAACGTAGGGTGAAGCCTTAGAGCCGTATTCGATTGCTTACCTTTCCATGTTTCAGAGAGCAATGTAGATCAAGTAAACAACAAATAATAAAAAATTGAAAAAATACGAGTAAAATAAAATATGACGGAGTCAAGATTTTCTTCCATACAGCTATACCTTTACATCTAATTTCAGTGGTAGGTCAATCGGGGCACGTCCTGCTCCTGATATGACCCCCCTGAATATCCTTCCCGTGTAGCAAGCTATCTTCCCAATCCTACCTATCGCCTTCCCATATTGTCCCAACTTCCCACCTCAAACAGGGGGAAGGGGAGGTAAACACCTCTAGCCAACGATCCAGTATTTTGCGGTGCTGCCGAATAAGGGGATTGCACAAAGCTTTCTCAAGTCCCTCTCACTGTTCTAGCGACTGAGTAGGAGTCCCTTCTCCGCTGAATGTTTTCTCAACATGTAATTCCAGCATATTCGCAGAACTTTTCTTCATAATACTACAGGGCTTCCCACTCGAAAAAAGGCTTGAAAAAATTCCGTGGAGAAACCGTGATGGAAAAAATTCCATTATGAGCGTCCTGAAAATTGCATTGTCAGGCTCCCTTCAGTCAGAGTATCTATAGCAATGAAACCTCTCTCGACCAATTCTTCCTGGTTAACTACTTATCTTCGCAGACTCTTCAGATGTCAGAGCTCCACTTCCGTGGTTTTCCTCCAAATAAAAGTTTTTCGTTCATGAAAAAGTATGTAGACACTCGAGGTGTAAAGCATTTCGGCGTTCGTTCCTTCCTCGACTTTACTTGGTCTCCGTCCTCATCACTTCGTTATCACTCCTCATCGTGATGACCTCACACTTTCGCTGTGCATGTTGCTGGGACTGACGTTGAGAAACTACCTCCTATACGGCCCGTTTGCCTCTTTGAATGCGATGCTGTTTTCATGAATTTGATGCTCATAGCTTAACATACTTTTCGGGTCATCTAAACTCTGACTCTGAGAATAACGAAACTATAGCCCATATGGGACACCTTTCCGTCCCTGAGTTGGAAAACATGAAGGTGTATTGGTCTTTGCTGCTCACATAAAGTCGTCGTCGGCGCAGTTGGTTAGGCGGTAAAAGGGTCGCAGAGCGGCTGCGGCGCGTCACGACCGCGGCTGTTTCAGCCTGGTGAGCCATTTTCTGCCTACTTTTCGCTGTATTTTCTATTTCTTTTCCAAGGAAAGTTGTGTTATTGTCTATAGCGTTTAAGGTCTTTGTTGTTGACTGTTTGTTTAATTATTCAATTGTTCGCAAAAATTAGAGAAATCTCAATCATAATTTACCTTGTGAAGACAAGGAACAAGCTAACCTTAAGAAAAGCAGCCAAAAACAGTGAAAAGTAGGGACTAAACCAGGCCGGAAACAGCTGATCGCCGCGGTCGTGACGCGCCGCAGCCGCTCTGCGACCCTTCGGCCGCCTAATCAACTGCCCGGATGACGACTGTATATTCATGATCCCAGCGAACCAAAGGGCGTGTGAAGGAGCGTGAGTTGAGTCTCACTCAGAACGCCCCTTCCCGCAATTGCTGCGCGCTGAAAAATGCCGCTTTGGCAGCGTTCTCATCCACCCCGTCACACACCCTATCGTTTCCATGGATCGTGGGAAAATTCTGCTCCCAATGTCTGACACCGAGGGGTGTCAGACAGTAACAGTGATTAATTGGACGTGTAACGATTATGAACTTATTTAGTTAGTTCCAGTTAGTTAGTTTTCTCATAAATCTGATAGCTGGCCTCGGTAGGGGCAGGTACTGGTTTGGCCTGCACAGATGTTGATATGATACTTATCGTTAGTTGGCGCAGTTCGGCTCGGTGGGGGCATTTTGCCGCACTCTATCAATCAGGGCAGATGCCTCCTGTGATACCTGTAATTTCTTGTGAAGCTATGGAGTAGCAGGAGCTTCATTTACACTTGACGAGAGTCCACAGGTTTCACCATGGTAAGACGTGCGATACTGGCGAAAGTGCAAAATGCCCCACCCTAGCCGATCAGCGCTCGTTAGTCTCAGTTCTCTTAGTTCTTCTTAGTTCTCCTTAGTCTCTGCAAAAGGCGTTATCTCTATCTCTGCGGCCATTAAGGGTGAAATTCTGCAAGGTTTCAAAATAGGAAAAGGGTCTTAATGCACACATATGTCACCAATGTTTACTAACAAGCTACTCCTATCTCCCTCCCTGAGGCTTAGGCAAAC